CAGGCAGTGGAACCACTGAGCTAAATCCCTGGTCCTCTTTCTTTCTTTCTTATAGTGGGGAGTGAACAGAGGGCCTTCACAGAGCTATATCCACCAGTTCTTTTATTTTTTTATTCACATTACTTTATGTTTTTGTTGTTGTTGTTCTTGTTTTGGTACCGGGGATCAAACTCGGGACTTGGTGCTTGCAAGGCAGGTGGTGGACCACTGAGCTAAATCTCCAGCCCCTCTTTTATTTTTTTATTTTGAGACAGGGTTAATCTGACCCAGGCTGGGCTTGAATTTGTGATTCTCCTGCCTCAATCTTCTAGTGTACTGGGATTACAAGCATGCACTATCACATCTGCTAAAAAAGGTTTTTGTTACTAAAATAATTTCTGCTATATTAATTTTAGTTAGTCCCTCCTAGTTAGAATATAAACATGTTCATGCTTTAATTCACACTCCAAAAATCTGAAATATGCTGTACATCTAAACACTCAAATTCCATATGAAGACATACAATGAAAAGAACACTGAGTCTAGTATTGTAAAACCTGGGTTCAAGCAATGCCTCTACCATATTATGCTAAACAAGTTACACCATCTTTAGGTGTCATTTTTTTCCTTCAAGAAAATGAGACTAGGGCTGGGGATTTAGCTCAGTGGTTCCGCCGCCTGCCTTGCAAGAGCAAGGATCCGAGTTTGATCCCCGGTACCAAAAAAAAAAAGAAAAAAAGAAAAAAAGAAAATGAGACTATTAGCCAGGCATGGTAATACATACCTGTAATCCTGGCACTCAAGAGGCTGAGGCAGAAGGATCTGAGTTCAAGGCCAGTCCGCGTTAGGGCACAGACTCTAAGGCCAGCCTGAACTACACAGTAAGCCCATATTGAAAGAAAGAAGGAAAGAAAGAGAGAAAGAGGGAGGGACAGGGAGGGAGAGGGGGGAGGAGAGAGATGAGGAGGAAGAACGAGGGGGGGCGAGGGGAGAGAGGAGAAAGAAAAGAAAAAGAAGGAAGGAACAAAAGAAGCAGGAAGGGGATTTAGCTCAGTGGTTCCACCTGCCTCGAGATCACCGAGATCACCGGTACCAAAAAAAAAAAAAAGAAGCAGAAAGTGGGGAGGAGATAAAAAAATGAGTCTATTTACTTGCTCTATTTAATTCCCAGGTAATAAAGGTCTAGGGAGAAAAGCATTCCCTTAATTATAATCACTAATCAATATAAATGTAAGGATATTATTCATTTTATTATTCATTTATTTAGGTGCTGGGGCTAGAACCTAGGGCCTTAGACATGAGAGGCAAGCACTGTACCACTGAGCCACATCCCAGCCCCTCTTTATTACCGTTAGTTACAGTTACCTTATCTAAAACTAAGCCTCATTTTTTAAGCTAAGCTCAATGCACAGCAAATAAATTGAATATTGTACATTTGTATCAGTGTAACTGTTATACTGTAAGACTAATAGAAAGTCATGTATAGCAGAAAGGTTATTAATCGTACAGCATCATAATGCACTCTCCAGACTAAAAGAAAGTTGTTCCTAAGCCAACAGTAACTACCTTCAAATCTATTATTTAAAAATCTCATTTGTTTTTGTACCCAAATCTAAAATTTTAGGAAATCTAAAGAGTAGTTTAAAATTGCATATATCCGAGCTGGGCATGGTGGCCCATGCCTGTAATCCCAGCTCTTGGGAATCTGAGGCAGGAATATTACAATGAATTTGAGACCAGCCTGGCACACAATGAGACCCTGTGTAAAAAAAAAAAAATTTATAAATCTTTTTAAAGTGCCTAAAATGTCTATACATGCTCTTATGTGTTCTTTAATATAACTTTATTAATTATAATATAATTTTAATATAACACATGTAGATATTAATAAAGAAAATAAAAAACACTCTTGTACTTCTGTGAAAAAATGAAAGAAAATTTCATAACAAAATAGACTACTGATGGTTAATATACTGTGTATCATGATCTTAAAAGAATGGCAAATATGTTGCTCAGAGTCTCATTGTATTTTGAATCCATCCCATTAGAAATAAAAGATTGCAGAAAAAGAGGATACAAAGTATACATAAATGCACAAAATAAAGATACAAATAAAGTCCCTTACAGAATCAGGGGAAACAAAAGTTTCTTCTAGTCTCATCCATAATCCTATGAACCTAAAAGATACCTAAAACAGTATCTCCAAGTACAACTATGATTCCCATCAAAATAACATCAAATATAAATACCATCAAATGATCATAAAAATAAATACAAGGGGGGCTGGGGATTTAGCTCAGTGGTTTCGCTGCCTGCTGTGCATGCTTAAGGACCCGAGTTCGATCCCTGGTACCTAAATAAATAAATAAATAAATGCAAGAGGTATTAAGCTGCTTGCTAGATTATCTCACTGCTTGGTAGTAACAGAGGGCAGACTAATTTTATCTACCCTGCCCTCATGAGTAGAAGGAATTCATCCTTTAATCCTCAATTTATGTGAGCATTGTCTTCTTCATTAGACTCATTCATCCCTCTCCCAACCCAGGTGATCACACTCTTTTAAGCACTTTGGATTTACCACAGCCGTAACTATACTGTTACAATTTTTATGTCCAGCCAGAGGTGGTGGCACCCATGTAATCTCAGCACTCAGGAGGCTGAGGGTGGAGGATCGCTGCAAGTTGCCAGCCTACATGGTGAGTTCAAGGTCAGCCTAAACTACACAGCGAGACCCTGTCTTTAAAAAATAAAAAATAAAAAATTATATCTATATATCTATATATCTATATAGATATCTCCCAGATGGACTTCTTCAGACCAATCACTGTTATCATTAATTTTTCTTTCCTTGGAACACCAGTCATCCTTACTTACCCTCTGTAACTCTAAAATCTTTCAAAGGGTTAAATTTTAGCTTAAGTATGACCATGAAATTAAATCACCTACTCTGTGAGCAAAACACACCTAAACATTCACCTACTTTAAATTCTTTTATCTGCTTAAATTCTATTTTGGAATATGGAACATTAATAAAATGCATAACTTATGTACCTATATCAAAGCAAAACAAGTTACAAAGCATTTTTTTAAAGTGCTTTGCATCCCTGCTCTACAAGGTTGGTCAGATGCTCTGATAAGATTAGCTCAGTGGCACCACATTTGCCTCTCAAGCTCAAGGTCCTGAGTTCGATTGCTGGTACCAAAAAAAAAAAAAAAAAAGAACTAAGTGCCTGGGAAATTCAACACTCTCTTTAGGTATAAACTCACTTATTGATTGAATGTGATTACTTACTAAGTATAAAACAATGTGCTAGACTAAAGAAAGATTCCTGGAATTAGAAAGTAATGCAGCAATATTAAATAAAATTTTTAGAAATGTCAGGAGAAAAAGTCATATACTTAATAGTTAATTACAGAAAGTGACAGTAGTTTCTAAAATTCCCAAAGCAACATGCAAACTTGTACATTCTATAAAGCTGAAAAAAATAACTAGGCACAATGGCATACACCTGTAATCCAGCTGCTGGTGAGGCTGAAGCCAGACAATTGCAAGTTTTAGGCCAGTTAGGCAACTTAGTGAGACCTTGTCTCAAAATAAAATTTAAAAAGGGCTTCAGATGTAGCTCTGCGCTCCCTAAATTCAATCCCCACTGCCAAAAGGGGGGGGGGGGACCTTGTGAATGAAAACATTAACATACAATATACTGTTTGCAAAGAAAGCTCCAGGTAACCTGCACAGAAAACACAAAAATCAAGAGATTTCCTAAGAAAAACTCTGCTTTAGAATCTATTAACTTAGGCGGAATTTGTGGAAGCTCTGTGTTCTATTCCTATATAAAATAACTTTTGAACCAAGTTTGGATTAACAAGTAATATATCTATATTCTCAATTAGTTACACCTTCCAGTACTCAAACACTGTCTTAATATTAAACAAGCAGACGGCTTCAATTTATCTCAACTAAGGCACTGCAGTCTAATTTGCAACCGTGAATTACAGCTCCAACGCCGATTATGGCAGAGCTGTTAAAGGAGTCTTGCAGATTGAACCATAAGGCAAAGGGGCAAAGTCTGTGCTGGAATCAGTTCTCAGACCTCTACACAGCCTTCTCCGTTTATATTTGTCTTTATCATTCTTCTCAGGACAGTTTTGGGGTTTTATTTTTTTACTTGTGGCGTTTGATAACTTAAACGATTTTCCTGAAAATTGATTTTTTCCAGGCACTGCCTGGAAAGATTTTAGGATACCTCCTTAACGAGTAACCTTGTTCAAAAGGGAAAGCCTCCTTCATGCCAATCAATTCAAACATCCACTATTTAAAATTAAAATGTAATTATAACTTCAGCGTCTATAGGGCAAGAACTACCACAGGCTCTCTCACATTCTTGCCTCCTCAGTTTCTCGTTCATTTCCTTCCTCAGTTCCTGCTCCCCCTGAAAAAAATTCCACAGCTGGAGACTCTCGGTTTTAAAGCCAAACAATGTAGTAAGGAAAATAAGTATGAGGGGTTTTTTTCCCTTCACGTATTTATTCTTTCTCCGTCACTTAGGAAGAGTTAAGCAAATATTTTTTATCTCACCGCCCTCTAAGAAAGATGATGCGCTAAGTACACACAGATAACAGAGCCTTCCCAAAGCAAGTAGACTCCCGACAGAAAGGGAGCGGGAGGTCCCGCGCGGAGACAGCGCGCCAGGGCAGGACCCAGGGGCGTCTCGGCTCACTTGCCACAACCGACCCTGGGCGGGGGACTGGACAGGCCGCGGGGGCGCCAGCCCTGACCCGAGGGTGGAGTGGCCTCCGTTCCCCGCGGGGACAAAGTTACGCTCAGGGCTCACCGCCCGAGGAAAGGGGCCCGGGACGGCCGCCCGGGGGAAGCAAGGCCCGGAGGCGGCGGCCGGGCAGCACTGAGAGTGCGGGACCCAGCGACTGAGGCGAGCACAGGGAGCCTGGGGGCCGCGCCAAAGAACTCTCCCAGCCGGGGTTCCAGGTGCCGGACCTAGCCGCACCCAGCCTCTCCTCACCTCACGCTGCCTGAGCCTCTGCCTCCACTGCAACCAGAGCCGTCGCAGCCGCCGCAGTCCAAGCCATTTTCCCCTCAAAGGGCTCAACCACCACAACAGAACTACAGCCCACTGCAGGGCCGGCCAAGCACAGTACGTCACTTCCGGCCAGGCAAGCACCGCCTCTGTGTCCAAGCGTCTTGCTGATTGGCTGACAAGGGCGACCTACCTGAAGCGGTGGGCGGAGCCAGAACACTTCCTTGGAAGTGGAATGGAGTCTGGGACTGGGTTGCCAAGGGTCAAGAATCCGGTTCCCGGTCAAGGCCAAAATGGGCAGTTCCGACAGCGAGAGAGGTTGTGCTCGGGACAGCCCAGCCCGCCGCCTCTGCGGCCAGCTTCCGAAGCCCCAGAGTAGCCTATTGGTCCCGTGCCCACTTTCGGGTCTCGGCATTCGATTCCTTCTCGGCTGTGGCTCCTAGATTTGTGGTGTTGGTGTTGGCTCCAGGCCGCGCCGAGATTAGTTTGGATTGGAAGACTGAAAGGAACGGACAAGACAAAAATCGTCCGCTGCAACCCAACATTTACCGAGCCCTTACCGAGGATCGGGTGATGCGGGGTGTGTAATTAGTAACCTATCACGTGGGTTCTGAAAAAGTGCTTGCTAATGTGTAAAGCGCTTTCACGTTAGTGTCTCATTTAATCCTCACCACAGCCAGGTAAGGAAGACAGCACGAAAATAACAACTCAGAACCAGATGGCCTATTCTGAGTTACAAAATATCTCCACACCCAATCTCCATAATAATACCTTCCCTATGAGAACTGAAGGAGCCTGAGCATATGAAGCGTTTACCCCCCAACTGTGCGATTAAAAAATTACATAGCCATGTGAAGCAGATTGGAAAAATATTCCCATTTTACACACTGTGAGACTTGAGCAAGGTTCAGATTCGGTTCCGCAGCTTTTTAACAACGGGACTATCTAACCCAGAACAGTAAGAAAAGAGGATCAGAGCCTTCCAGAAATTCAGTGTTAACGTGGCTGACTGATTTAGGTTACAATTCTCATGAGCCCTTTCCCAACTGAAGAGGATAGTATGGAAATGTTTAACGATAGGGATAGCAAATAAACTGGCAGCTTCTACTTGGGGGCAGAAAGGTTGGGAGCTCTAAACTGAAATTTACCCCAACGAATCTCCCTCATTTCTTTTTCTTTTAGTGGGGGGGGGGGCGGGGGTTTGCAGTGGATGAAGCCCTCTAAATCTTCCATTATAGTAAATATGTCTGCACCTTTCTGGAGATGGAGAGGTTGAAGTTTCTTTCCAATGGGGAAGGCAGATGCAGTGGCATGCAACTGTAGTCTCAGCCACTGAGGAAACTGAAAGGAAGAGGATCACTTGAATCCAGGCGTTCCATGCCAGCCTGGGCAATATATGGAGAACCTGTGCCAGAAAGAATGGCCATCATCAAGAAATCAAATAATAACAAATGCTGGCAAGGCTGTGGAGGTTCGGAGGGAACACTTCTACATTATTGGTGGGAATGTAGACTAGTATAACCACTATGGAAATCAGTATGAAGATTCCTCAAAAAACAAAATCTAAAACTAGAAATCCCATTTGACCCAGCTATTCCCCTTCTAAGTATCCTCCCAAAAGAGTTAAAGACGTCATATTAGTGATACATGCATACCCAGCACAATTCACAATAGCTAAATTTTGGAAGTGGCTTATGTGTCCATCAAAAGATAAATGAAGAAAATGTGGTATTTACCAATGGAGTATTATTCTGCCAAAAAGAAAGATAAACTTGAGTCATCTGTAGGAAAATGGATACACTTTAAAACCATAATGTTAAGTGAAATAAATTAAAAACATGAGCTTAAATATCACGATTTCTCTTATATGAGAAATCCAAATTACAAATAAAGAGTAAATAACAGATAAAAGGAAAAAGGGAGATAGATCTCAAATGGGAAAATTAAGAGATGGAGAGGGAGGGGGGGAAGGGGATAAAAAAAGGAATTAAGGTGTGGCATGGACATGTACCAGCTCCACACAAGAAATGTCAACATGCACTGCATAAATGTACTAATAAAAATAAAATAAGGGGGGAAGGAAGCACTATTATTCTATAGGGACATCTAGAAGCAACTTATAACTATGGCTACAAGCCCTCCCTTCTAGCTTTCCACCAACTGCCCCCAACACACACAAACACACACACACACACACACACACACACACTTCCAGGCAAGCTTTACGCACCCTAGAAGAATGTCTCTTAGGAATCACTTTAGTTCCACAGTATTGTTCTGCTTTATCATCTGATCAAAGGAGGAATTTCCAGAATTGGCAGCTCTTTCACAACATTAAAAAGGGTGGAGGAAAGAAATTATCTCTGGGCTGGTTTCCCACCTTCTGCTGGAGAACCCGGTGTGCCTTGAGGAAACAAGAGGCCTTGAAAGAACACACAGTCTTCAGGAAAGATTAACTGTTTGACTTCTTGTATCTCTCTCTCTCTCTCTTTTTTTTTCTGATAAATATTTCCTCTGGTTTCCAGCAGCAGAAGGCTCTGGTCTTTTAGTTCCTTGTTGCAATTCTGAGACCAGATATTAATGCTTTTGAATCACCCTTGTTTGGTAGGCTCTGATCAACCAGAAAGGTACCTAAAGTGAAAAGGAAGAAAGAGTCTGATGATTCTCCAGGTTTTAAAAAAAGTACTCTTTACGAATCGCCAGGTGTCAGGAATCTGAACTGATAGATTTCCTTGGAGTGCCTCCTGTCCAGAAATGGCCTGTGGAGATGAATGTTAAACAACACAAATACAGATTTCTGAATGTGCAAAATGGTGCTGCTGTCATTTAAAACCAACTAGAATACAGTTAGCAATTACTTCTCTTTTCTCTCTCCCACTAGCTTCAATTTTTGTTTGTTTGGGTTTTTTTTTTGGTACCAGAGATTGAACTTGGGACCTTGTGCTTTTGAGGCAGGCTGTGGAACCACTGAGATAAATCTCCGGCCCCAATAGCTTCAGTTTTTAAGAAATGAGGGTAGTGGGCCAGGGATTTAGCTCAGTGGCCCCATGCCTCCTTCAAAAGTGAAAGGTCCTAGGGCCGGGGATTTAGCTCAGTGGCACCGCACCTGCCTTGCAAGCACAAGGTCCTGAGTTCGATCCCCGGTACCGCTAAAAAAAAAAAAAAAAAAGTGAAAGGTCCTGAGTTCGATCCCTGGTACCAAAATAAATAAATAAATAAATAGGGTAGAGAAAAGGATTGAGGAGGAAGCATTGCATTTTAAGTGTTCCAACGCTAACTTCCCACAGAAAACTTCACAGTACTATGAATATTCCCAAACTTCTTCCAGTACCAAATAAGAAATGGGCAGCTTTTATTTTAAACCACAGTAAAAATAGTGGCTGATATTTACTGAGCATTTCCTAAAGCCAGGCCCTGTTCTTAGTGCTTTATAAATATTATCTCATTGAATCGCTCCAACAACCTTAATAAAAAGGTATCATTATTATATATTCATATTCTAGTTGAGGAATTTAAGGACCGGAGAGGAAAGTAACTTCCCCAAAGCCACACGATTATTAAATAGTAGAGGTGGGATCCAAACCTGGGTCTGATCACAGCCCAGTCTTTTTAAACTCACATTGCCCCTAATAAGCCAAGGAGATTTTAACAGCTATAAAAGGCCATTAATGAGTGGTTCAGTTCTACTTTCCTCTCCCAATGCTGTGTCCTCACACCATAGGAGGTCTCCCTGGTACTATACCACACAATTTAAGTGTGGCTGCCACCCCTCAGAAATCATTACCTAAGGCAGATCACACTACCATTAGAGAAATGACATTCAAAACATTAACTGTGTGAATGAGAAAAAAATGTGATTTTTTGAAAGATTAGGAAATGTTTGCCTTTAAATGATACATGAAGGAGAGGCAGGAGAGAGAATGCACTGAGCCCCTACTTTCTATACATTAAGCAATGTGCTCTATGCTGGGGATATAGATATTGCCCTGCTTACCACTATATCCCCAGCATAGAGCATATTGCTTAACATAGAGCTTAGAGTCCAACAGGGGAGACAAGCATTAAACACCTAATTAAATGACCATTTAATCTCAATTGTGACAATCAGTATGAAGGAAAACTACAAAGCTCTTTGATTTAGACTGGAAGGCAGGAAGGCCTTCCCTTGAAGAACTAGCATTGAGCTAAGATCTAAACAATGAGTAGAAATTGAGCAAGGATAGGAAAAAAGCAACCAAGGCAGAAGGAACAGTGGGTGCAAAGGAGGAAGGAACATGGTTCAGCAGAGGAACTGAGAGGGCAGGCTGTTGTACTGGGAACTGGGGAGAAATGACTTCAGGTGCTGTGGTGAGGCAAGCGTCTCATGCTGGACCTGGGAGGGAGTATTAAGAATTTAGGTCTTAGCTAGACTTGGAGGCATACACCTGTAATGCTAGCAGTAAGGAGGCTGAGGCAGAAAGATAATCGTTCAATGCCAGCCTGCACTACATTCTGAGTTCAAGGCCAGCCACAGCCCTCCTTGTAGATATATAGTGAGACTCTATCTTAAGAAAAAAAAAGTTGAAGATGCTTAATACCCAGTTA